GGAAGGCCGCCTCCGCAAGGGGAGACAGTGGTCCAGGGAAGCCTGTTTTGCAGCACGATTCGACACGGTTCAGGACAAAGAACATACGTCAGGCATGATAGGGATACACTTGTTTTTCAAAGTCACAGGGAGACATTTTGCTGCAGGTTAGCATCTACAGCAGGTCAACTTGATCCTGGTTTCTGGGAAGAAAGGTTTATCTTCAAAAGAGGCCTGGTGTTGATGTCAGAGGAGGGGAGGCGTTCACCCTGTCTTGAAAGAGCGCATCCTTTGCTTTGGGATAGTGAGTTAACAAGATGTACAACGTATGTTACTCAGGCTGTAAGTCAGGCTGCTCTGGTCAAAATAAAATTTAGGCCAAACTGGGTTTAAACCAGAATAGCTTCCTCATAAACCTTAGTATTTTTAATTTTTCTTACATGAGAATCTTTATACTTCTACTTGTGTGCCTTCTTTTTACTCTCATAATAACATATTTTCTACATGCTTTAGGGCAACCTGTGCCCTACTCTCTAAAAGTCTCCTCTATTATTCAGGCTGCTCAAATACCCCAAATAACCAAGCTTAGTCTTGACTCAGTTTTGAGGCGTGGCTAGACGAGTTCCCCTTCTTGAGCAGCTGATTAAGCTGATACTCCCAAGCACCTCTGAGCTGTGCTCTCACACTGCGCCACTATGCACCCACCCTACACACCCCAGGGCCAGGTACCTGAACAAGCAAGGACAGTCTCTATGCCCCAAGTCCACTGATCTGTTTCCCATTAGCCAATCATAAACCTGCTTGCCCTGCCTCATCCCTCCTTCCTGCTGAACCCACAGCACAGGCGCTGGACCACAGGCCCCCATCTCCATCTGTCTTCCCCTGAGTGGCCCTACATGGCATGCTGTTTCTTCCCAGGGAAATGTAACAAAATTGTACAACTCTTTCTGGATTCTCTCTCTTGATCTGTGTCTGGCCTCACTAACCTCACCCAAGATAACAGGGTTAAAACAAGGCCAGGGAGTTAGTGGTCAATCATTAAGCCACAGAGAAAGGCCTCAGCTTCCGATGCCTCAGTGGGTCAGCTGAGACGCACACAACCCAGCTCCTCAGAGTACCCAGCAGGATGGACGTCAGCTTGTTCACAGTGGTTGCCAGCTCAGTAACACACCCTGCACTGGCTTTTCATCCTCTCCCATCTCATTTTCCCCATTCTCTTATTCTTGCTTTTTGTGATCACTTCCCTAATAAACTGCCTACACAAGCTCATCCTAGCTCTCTTTACGGGAATACAAAAGAAGATAACCAGAAACCCAAATGAGACAAGGACCCCGACTCTGATCAAGCCAAGGACAAACATAAGAACTCCAGCCAAAAAAGGAACACACCCCCACCCAGCACGGAGGAGAGGCCAGGTCTCCAAGCCAGCAACCACAGCGCGATCACCCAGCAGAGTCAGTACCACCACCCGCAGAGTCGGCAGCACTTCTGTCGTGTTTTTCAGATCTGATTGCTCCATTGACACTGTCACTTAACGTCGGGTTCATCTGTTTGATGGAAACTGAGTCACACATAGGATTTAAGCTGCAAGGGAGTGTGGTTTCATATGCTGCTGTTTAAAAATTACCACAAAAGTAATGTTTTAAAACAGAAATCTCTTCTCTCACACATCTGGCAGATGGAAGTGCAAGATCGGTGTCACCGGGTTGACATCAAAGTGTCCGCAGGTCCACGCTCCCTCCAGAAGCTCTAGGGGAGAATCCCTTTCTTGCCTTTTCTGGCGTCTGGTGGCTGCTGGGACTCCTGAGGCCACACCACTCCCATCTTTCCCACGGCGGATGCGCCAGGTTCTCCTCTTCTGTGCATGTCATCCTCCCTCTGCCTCTCACTTACGAGAACTCCTGTGAGTGCATTCAGGGCCCACCTGGGTAATCCAGCATAATCTCACCTGCAAATCCTGACCTCAATCACCTCTGCAGAAGCCTTCTCGGTGTAAGGTAACATCCACGTACCAGGGATTGAGGGCTGGTATCTCTGGGGGACGTTATTCAGCATTCCACATCTGGAGAGATCTTTTAGCTTTCAAACTGATTTAAGGAGGAAATGCTGGCTCCCACAGGGCTTTTGTGGTTGGTTTATTTCACAGCAACAGGTGATTTACAGAGAATTTGGTACCTATAAACAGGTGTTGCCCCAGCAAATCCTAAAACACGTGCATTGGTTTTGGGACCAGGTGGCAGGTGAAGGCTGAAGGGCCCCAAGACCTTTAATGGGAGCTTGAAGGACAGTTCGGAAACCTGAGGCTTGAGGAAATGTCCTGTTATGTAGTGGTGAAAACTTTGGCAACTGCTGACTGTGGTAACGTGTAAACTGGCACAAAGAACTCCAGGTAGACTTGAAAGTACCAAATGTGTCTGTTATCCACCGCATCAGGGAGGGTGTGCTCAGCTTCCAGAAGCCACAGCAGTAATTTGAATCGGGAAATTTGAACAGAAAGAATGAACCACGAGAGGTTACCATATGGGAAATTACTCGAGAAACCTTATTAAAATGGAGTCGGGAGGCCAGAAGGGGGAGCTCTCATGCCCTACGTTGAAAGGAGAGCCCGACAGGAAGACTTCCTCTTCTTGACCAGCAAGCTCAGCCCATGGGAGACTGGCACAACTCAGCCAGTGAAAGGCCACTACACCTGGGACTTTGTCCACAACAGCCCTCTCAGCTTCCTCCTCCCCTCCGTAGAGTGTCTCCTTCCTTTGTTGCAGGGGACTTACATGTGGCTCACCGTGGTTGCAGATCCCAAATGGCAATTCTTTGCTGACCCCGAAATAAACCATTTTTGTTGGAGAAATAACTGGCTATTCATTTAAGGTCAACACGATTAAAAGGTATAAAGAAGTCGTCCTGAGATACACAGAGGCAGCCACTGCAGTAAGTGGCTGCCAGCTCAACAGCTGAGGGCGGGTGAGCACGGAGGAGGTCCTGGGAAGGCTGACATTTGCACTTGAGGCACGGTGGCCCCGGGAATGTGGCCCTGCCTCTCTGGTAACAAAACGCTCGAGGGAGGCCTCTGGCCAGGGCATATGTGACAGTTGTGCCACCGTGCTTGCAAAGAAAGTGCCAAAAGTGCAGCCACCACTGAGGACGAGACAGCGTATGCCATGCCAGGGTCTCCCTCCTGCCCCACCTTCACCCAGCTATGCTCACACCGCATGGATACCTGCCACAGAAGGAAGAACAAACTCCATCTTCCTGCTCAGGTTGCAACCTCCCTCCAGGCCCTTTCCTGTGAAAGTCAAAGATTTTGTCAGCTGGGAAAGGAGAAATGTAGTGCCAGCATCCCAGAGCAGAGCAACCAAGGGTGGGTTTCTAGCTGAGACAAAAACTCACAGCTGGCAGTCACATACCATAAGGCATGGATTGAGGGAAATGAACCAAAAATGAGAAATTGTTCAGTTTTAAAGAAGAATCTAGACAAAATACAAAGGAGCCAGGACTAGCTTCGTTTGAAAATAAAGCTGTTCCTCCTCCCCAGCTCCTCCAGTCAGAACAGGATTATCGAAGTAGGAAGTGGCTTCAGGTTACAGATCAATTTCAGGATGCTACCAGTAAAATACAGCCTCAGAGTCAATCTCCGGCCAAGGGCGTTGCTGTAAGGCCCTTTCTTGAAACTCTAAGAATGTCCCTTGTAGGTCCTCACAAATAGGTGAGAAATAGGGCTTTTACAAATCTTAGGGGCCCTGTCCCCACATCACTCTCAGTTCGAGGTGGACTGAATCCTGTTCCAGAGAAAATGTGGGTGTGGCTTTCACCTAATGGAGAGGACTATAATTTGGTCTATCAGAAATCCAAAGTTTTTAAAAGCAATTAGATCAATTCAAAATACAAGATTTAGAAAAAGTTGTAATGAAAAGAGCCTGGGCAGGAAGTAGGACTGAAGAATCCAGTGGGTTACAAAATCAGGCTAGGTGCTGTGGAAGAGGATGCCTCAGAGAATAGGATCCAGAGCCTTGGAAATCATGCCCAGAACCACTGCGCCTGGTCAAGGACCTGACGGTGTGTCTGCTGCATCTCAGAATTTCTATGGACCAGCGACAGCTGACTCCTCCGGCCCCCTCCCCTTTGAAGGGACCATCTGTTGGTATCCCATCTCTGCCACCGTTGTGTGCTGAGTGTGTACAGCAGGGAACCAGTCCCTGCAGGTCACACCTTCAGACCAAGAGCAAACACACACAAGGAACTGTGCCCAAAGAGCCTGCGTGCTCAGAAGCGATAGAGACAGAGCCTAGGTCCCAGCCTGCAGCTTGCCATGATGCCGGCTTCGGGAGACTGGGCACAGCGCGAGTACAGTTTGCACGTGGAGGCAATGTGAACTCTGTGGCCAGAAGGTGGGCAGTGTCAGACCACCTCCCAAGATGGCCACAGACTACGTCCCGTCCCACATTCTTTTTTTTTTCTTTTTTAAGATTTTATTTTTTCCTTTTTCTCCCCAAAGCCCCCTGGTACATAGCTGTATATTCTTTGTTGTGGGTCCTTCTAGTTGTGGTATGTGGGACGCCGCCTCAGCATGGTTCGATGAGCAGCACCATGTCCGCGCCCAGGATTCGAACCAATGAAACACTGGGCCGCCTGTAGCGGAGCGTCAGAACTTAACCACTCAGCCGCGGGGCCAGCCCCCCCACATTCTCTTTTGCAATGTGCTCTTGCAACACTTCCCTCGAGAGGCAGAGTCTGTCTCCCCACCCCTAGAATCTCCACAGGCCATCAAGAGCTCTGGATAGAAAAGGCAGAAGCGCCTGTGTGCTGGTACCAGGAGAACCCTTAACAACTGTCCCCTCGGAGGCAAAATCACAGCCAGGAGAGAACCCCCAGTCTACAGTCCTTTCCTTTAAAATTTTCAATAAATATCTAACATCTCTATCTGAAAATTTCATCCACACTACCTAAACTGATAGTTTTCCCATTATTAAAAATTACATTATACCTAAAGTTGGAAGTTTTCTTGAAAGTCTTGACACATTAAAGATATTTATAAGGTTTTACTTTATTCTCAGTGTTCAAAGAGCTGTCTCTGCCCAATAAAGGCACTCCATCTGTTGCATTATCTCTTCCCATGATTTCTTTGATTTCTCCATCAATTGAACTGGGGATGAACGATGACAACACAGGTTCTTTCCCGTGGGAATTTTCTACACAAGGACTGATAACTTTTCACAGAAGGCTGTGCCAAATTCATCAAATGAACCGGCTACAGTGAACTGGTAATGTTGTAAATAGATCACACATGGAAGGGATCAACAATAAATATTTCTCACTCATGTGAAGAGTACAAATGGAGATTTTTTTAGGTAGAGCTGGCAAGATCTCTGCTCTCCCCATTCCATCCCTTCTGTCTTAAGTCAGGATTGCCACATTCATCCTATGCTCCCAAGGGAAACCTGGGGGTAATCTGACCTTCAGGACCACAGGGTACAAAGTCAGAGAGGAAGAATTTTTTTTATTCTTTTTTGCCGAGGAAGATTAGCCTTAAGCTAACATCTGTTGCCAACCTTCCACTTCTTTCGCTTGAGGAAGATTAACCCTGAGCTAACATCTGTGCCAATCTTCCTCCCTTTATATGTGGGTTGCCACCACAGCATGGCTGATGAGTGGTGTTGGCCCATGCCCAGGATCTGAACCCATAAACCAAGGCTGCCAAAATGGAGCATGCCAAACTTAACCACTATGCCATGAGGCTGGTCCCTGCATAGAAGCATATATACATTTTTTTTTTTTTGATGAGGAAGATTGGTCCTGAACTAACATCTGTTGCCAATCTCCCCCCACCCCTTTTTTTCTCCCCAAAGCCCCAGTACCTAGTTGTAAGCAATTCTAGTTCTTCTATTTGGGGTGCCTCCATAGCACGGCTTCATGAGCAGCGTGCAGGTCCATGCCCAGGATCCAAACAAGTGAACCCCAGGCCACCAAAGTGGAGCATGCGAACTTAACCACTCAGCCACAAAGCTGGCCCCGAGCATGGAAGTATTTCTGTAGTCAGCCTTGGAAGTAATGTTCACCACTTGTGTTCATATTCTCCTGGCCAGAGTTACATAGTCCAACCCATAGTCAAAGGAGGCTGAGAAACGCAGGCTGTGTGCCCAACAGAAAAAGAAAGTGAGTTTTGGCATACACATAGCCAGTCTCCACCATACATGATTTCTGCCCTGTGTGAGTTCTCAGATGTTTGCTGAGGTGTGACTTCTGGCAAAAGCTTTTTCCACATTCATTACATTCATAGGGCTTCTCTCCCGTGTGAGTTCTCTGGTGTACAGTGAGGGCTGACTTCTGATAGAAAGTTTTCCTACATTCTTTACATCCATAGGGTTTCTCTCCTGTGTGAGTTCTCTGATGTCTATTGAGGGTTGACTTCTCACAAAAGGTTTTCCGACACTCACTACATTTGTAAGGTTTCTCACCTGTGTGAGTTCTCTGGTGTACAGTGAGTTTTGACTTCTGGTAGAATGTTTTCCCGCATTCTTCACATTCATAGGGTTTCTCCCCTGTGTGAAGTCTCAGATGTACAGTGAGTTTTGGTTTCACACAGAAGGATTTCCCACATTCATTACATTTATAAGGTTTGTCTCTTGTGTGAGTTCTCTGATGTACAGTGAGGGCTGGCCGGTGGCCAAAGGATTTCCCACATTCTTTACATTCATAAGGTTTTTCTCCTGTGTGAGTTCTCTGGTGTGCCGTGAGAGCTGACTTCTTATGGAAAGTTTTACCACAGCCACTGCATTCATGAGGCGTCTCCCTGTGAATTCTCTGATGTACACTGAGAGTCAGCTTCTGGTAGAATGATTTCCCACATTCATCACATGCATAGGGTTTCTCCCCTGTATGAGTTCTCTGATGTTTCGTGAGATTAGACTTCTTATAGAAAGTTTTACCACATACATTACATTGAAAAGTTTTTTCTCCTAACTGAATTCTCTGACGCTGAGTGAGCTGTAAGTTCTTGCTAAAATTATTCCCACTTTGATTATATTTATGGTGTTGCTCCTTGAAATCAGCTCTGTGAAGACTCAGTTGTGTTGGTTTCTCACAAACGGTCTTCCCCCATTCGTTACATCGATCGCGATCCTCCCCTACGTGACGTCTCTCTTGGGCAATGAGAGCTGACTCATCACAGGCTTGCCAGTGTCCATTATATCTACAGGCAGTGCCTCCCATGCGAGCCCTCCTATGTGTAAGGACTACTGCCTCCTTGTTGAAGCCTCTCCCTCGTCCACTAAATGCGGAAGCCTGCTGCACAGTTTGAGTCTCCTGAGGATGACTAGGACGCTCAGCACATCTGAGGGATTCCCCGGTCACAGGACAGTCCTCAGCTTTCTCTCCAGCAGGCATCTCATCAGGCGCTCTAGGGAGAAATGTGTTCTCAAATGCATTAAACTCCTCTGGCTTCATTCCTGAACAGTTTCCACTATTTATAATCAGTTTTGAAATACAGATTGAGCTCAGATTACACGTTTTTCCTAAGTCAGTTCTCTCCTTAGTTGATGTTTTGCTGTTGGTGATTACAGCTTGCCACAAACGTCTGCCATAATTTTCCTGGCTGGTCTCCATCAGGTCACCCACAGTCTGCACATCTAAAACGAGATGAAAATAACCATATCCATGAACCACACCTATGCATTTCTCATGGAATGCTCACATAAAGGTAAATAGATTTCCTTCTGTCCCAGTGGAACAAGACTCTTTAGAAATCAATAATGGGTACTGATTTTATGAGAAGTGTATGATTCTTCTCCCTAATGAATTAATGTAATAAATTATATTAATATATTTTCTAACATCAAATCATGTTTGTTTCTTTTTTTACTTAAGTTTTTTTTTTTAATTCATGAGAAATATTTGGTCAAAATATTCACCTACTCTCCAGATATAGATTTCAGCAAGAACTTTTCATTTTCCATTTGTTTCTCTGTTCTTTCCTCTACTTTATCATAATAACTGTGGGTATCTTGTGCTAGCCCTTTTCTGATCACTCAGCTTTGAGGATGGCATAATTTTTCTGCATCAGCTACTTACAGGTTATGAGGAAGAGCCATTCATCTGTCACATAAGCAGTATTATTGCTTAGGGACAAGAATTTTGCACCTCTGTTTGTTTAGTTTTTACTTCTCCCTGGGGAATGGCTATAGGCTTCTGTGAGGTTTTTCAAAGGTATAGTCTCTTCTTCGCCATACTAGGCAAAGACAGCTTTCTGCAAATTCTTAATTAAACACTGCATTCTGTACTTCTCAGAACCCTAATGGTAGAGGAAAGTCCGGTGCAACACTTTGTGCACCTCCTCCCTGCTTGTCTACAGGATTTAAGCTGTGCAACCCAGTCTGTGCCCACCATCTTTGAAAAGCCCTTTGCTGGCTCCTTCTGAGATCAACAGCCCTGGCAGCTTCACCCCACTTTATGTTAGGTACAAGGTCCCTGCTTCTGAAGACTTTTACCTTGCATTCTAGAGTTTCAGCTGTCTCCTAGTTATACTGAAACTGGAGTCACACATGCGTTTCTCATTCTTTCGTGGTTTTTACAGTGATTTCCCCAAAAGAAGGTGAAAATGCTAATTTCAAACTCCACTCCCAAAGTCTGAGCCTCCCAACCTGAAACTTTTGGTTCCATTGACCTTGGAGCCACAGTCTCTAGTTTCTCCAATCGTGTCATAAACCACGCCTTTCCATGCTGAACCATTTGCTGGGTCACCCTCAGCTTCATGACTTCTGATGTCTGGTTCACAAGGCTTGTGCCTGGACCTCTTCTCTCATGTTCTTAATAATCCCTTAGGCAACCTCTGCTAATCCTACCAGTTTTCAATAAATGATTTCCTAATTTGCCTCTCCAATAGTGATATCCACCCTCTACTCCCGATTTCATATGCACCTAATACTACATGTCAAAATGGAAAACGGTCATCTCAAACGTAACCTCTACCAATATAAACACTTAATCTCCCTCAAAGTGCCTTCTGAGTACCCTACCTAAAATAGTAACAGCCCATTTTTCTCTCTCTCATCCTGGTTATATGTTCTTTGTGGCTCTTATTTCATTATTTAACATGTATATTTGTTTCATTCTTCTTTCTCAACAAAATATAAGCTCTATAAAAAGAAAAACATTTCTTTGATTATTGCTGTTATCTGCACAACTACAAAAATGACCAGTGCCTAAAACTTTCCAATTAATGTTGAAAGAATAAATGAATGCATGAATGAATGCCTGAAAGAAAACCGTATGTGAGAACGGACAAAAAGAGGGCAACTAAACCTGGAGAACCTGATTAACAAGAAAAAGTTCCAAGAGGATGCAGGTAGGTGTTAGATTTTGGGTAAGTCTAAGAAAATAATCAGCAATTATAACAAGAGGAGGGATTCACGTGTCAAAGCCACATTTGGAGAGGGGAGAGTGCATGAGTCTGATACATGCAGATTAACTGTCCTAAGGTCTGGACGTGGGGAAAATCACAGGTGAAAATTAGCTCAGTGAGGCCAACATCTGCTGTGCTCTCCTCTTCCCAGCCTCCCTGCCCAGCACGCATGGACCCACCTGGGAGGCTCTGGTTTGGGGGTGCTTCTACAGTCCACGGTTCTGCGTCTTGCTCCAACTTGACGATCACCTCAGGTTTGGTGATGCAATGCCCTGTTGATGAGAAATAATGTAGGACTTTTGCCAAACCGCTTGACGGCCTCTGAAGAATGACAACTGCACAGCTGCAAGAGCTGTGCAACAAAGAGCAATTTGAACCTTTAACTGGAGAAGTGAACACACATATTCTTCTCGGCCTAGAATCGTAAACCTAAGTAGCATTTAATTTCATGAACAGTCATACAGTTACCAATAAAGGAAAAACGCTTGCGCTTGGCAGTTATTAGGAGAGTTTCGCTCACCCAGTGACGCTAGGCTACTGTAGGTCTCCAGCATCACGTCCTTGTACAGGGTCCTCTGGGCATCATCCAGGTCCTGCCACTCCTCCCAGGTGAAGTGCACAGCCACATCCTCAAATGACACCAACCCCTGTAATGGCACATTTCTCAATTCATCAGCCTGGGTCAGAAGAACAGGAAGTCTGGGAGTTCATTCTTTTGTGTGTATTTTGTCTTGTACAGGATGCGCCACGCTTTGTACTCTATATTGTGGGATAAAGAGTAATCACAGCAGAAATATCCTACCTCTGTGTTTATTCACTAGTTCCTAAAAGTACTACCATACAGTTTCCCTTCTAAATCTGGAACTGTCCTTATTGCTAGGGATAAAAGGATGAACAAAATTCTGCTCCTCAAAGGAGCCTATGATCTGGTATGGAGACAGGGATAAATGCACACCTGGAATAATGTGTTAGATGAAGGAGGCTCGACACATGTTCAAGGTAGACTGGGGTATTAAAGAGGCAGAAAAACAGTTGTTCCTTGTACTACCAGGTTGTGCTTCACTGAAGAGCCAAACATGTTAGCTGTTCAACGTGAACCACATGTTCTTGTGGATATGAGGCAACAGCAGAAGTCATGAGGGCAGGAAGAACACACGCCACAGTAATGGAAGTACACACAGCACCGTGTCCAGGGGAGTGCTCCTGGGCTGTGATGAGATTAAGGCACTAAAGGTATTTAAGAAACTGATTGTAGAGCAACTCTGCATTTAAATATTTGACCTAATTCCAACAACAAGAAATTTGATGCACTCACCATGTTCTCTATTACTTATCAGTTAAAAGCATGTACACAGGCATTCTAAGATTTCCTTCCTATATCCCAAAGGGTTGCTTAAATCCACCCCAGGGTGAACAGCCCCCACTTCCTAAACCACAAGGTCTAAATAATGAGGGGCTGGTCCAAAGAGGCAAGTGACATGAGCGGATTTGCATTTTAATAGTCATCCCCTAGAAGGAGAATGGGCAAGGGCTTAACGGGAGAAGCAGAGGAGAAGAAACCAGAGGGAGAGATGACCACCTACATTGAGGCAACAGAGCAATAAGAATACAGAACAGGGAACTAATCTTAAAAAAAAAAAAGAAAAAAGAAGGAAAAGAATTTGCTGCTAATTTGCTCTGAAAAGGGTGAAGGGGGAGTTTTACAACCGGGGTGTCTACATGCCCAGCCAGGTGGATACTGGTGCTGTGAACTGAAACTGGGAAAGAAGGGTAAAGTGTATGATGGGCAGAAGAGACACAGATTTGGATATGTCATGTTTGAAGTCTCTGTGCTCAAACATGTGGGGAGGTCCAACTGGCAACTGGATATATGACCTAGAGCTCAGGAGAGAGACCTAAGCTGAAGATGAAAATTCGGGAAACAGGAGAATTTTCGCAGTAGCTGAAGCCATCAGAGTGAACAAAATGGCTCAAAGAGAACCTATGAGACTGAAAGGAGAAAAGGAATAACTACAGCGTTTTAGGAAACATCAATATTTCCTGAAGGAGAAACAGACCATGACAATGGAGAAGGAATTGTTAACAATCATTCTAGGAATAGAGCAAAACCTCAATATGAAGAAACCTATTAGGTGGGCCGGCCCAGTGACGCAGTGGTTAAGTTCGCACGTTCTGCTTCTTGGTGGCCCGGGGCTCGCTGGTTTGGATCCTGGGTATGGACATGGCGCTGCTTGGCACACCATGCTGTGACAGGTGTCCCACCTATGAAGTAGAGGAAGATTAGCATGGATGTTAGCTCAGGGCCAGGCTTCCTCAGCAAAAGAGAGGAGGACTGGCAGTAGTTAGCTCAGGGCTAATCTTCCTTAAATAAATAAATAAATAAATAAATAAATAAATAGAAATCTATTAGGGCTGGCCCCATGCCCAAGTGGTTAAGTTCGCGTTCTCCGCTTTGGCGGCCCAGGGTTTTGCTGGTTCGGATCCTGGGCATGGACATGGCACCACTCATCAGGCCATGCTGAGGCAGCGTCCCACATGCCACAACTAGAAGGACCCACAACTAACATATACAACTATGTACTGGGGGTGATTTGGGAAGAAAAGAGCAGAAAAAAAATAAAAGAAGATTGGCAACAGTTGTTAGCTCAGGTGCCAATCTTTAAAAAAAAAAAAAGAGAGAGAAACCTATTCGTGTATTTCATCGTATTCATATTTCTGGGGAGAAAATCCTATGATCCTCCACATAGATACTGAGTGGGCATCTGTAAAAATACCCTCCCATTTGTAATTAAAAAAACCCTCAAAAAACAGGATTCAAGGAATTCTTCCTTAACATGATAAAATGTGTATGTCTCAGCCATAAGTGAAAGCAAGATTCACATTCATGGGGAACACTGCAGGACGAGGACACCCCATCGCCAGTTACTAACGCTGTAGTAGCAGTGTCTGTCAGTGCACTGCAAAGAGAAACAGACGAGTGAAAATGATGATTTGCATATGATTCATACTTGAAAAACTGAAGAGAATCACAGAAAAACTACTCCAAATAGGAAGATTCAATAAATTATCAGACTATAAAAATAATATATAAGTCTTCATATATATGAGAATACTCCCACAATAACAAAAAGATAAAACACTCAGCAATACATTTAAGAAAATAACACAAAACTCTGAGGGGGCAAAAAAGAATACAAAAAGAACTAAACAAATGAAAAGATAAATCATGTTCATGGATAGGAAGAGTCCACATCATAAAGATATCAATTCTCCCTAAATCAGTAAACTAACAATACTATTCTAATGAAAAGATACATTCTTAGATATAGGCAAGCTCATTTAGAAGTTCATGTGGAAAATTAAACAAGCAAGAATAGACAGTGTGTGGCAGTTTATATTTCCGTCCGGCCAAATTAAGCATCCTTCCCTGCGTTAGTCAGCCCAGGCTGCCATAAGATACCACACATTGAGTGGCTTAAACACAGAAAATTCTTTCCTTACAATTTTAGAAGCTGGAAAAGTCCAAGATTAAGGTACCAGCCAATTCGGTTCCTGGTAAAGGCTCCCTTCCTGCCTTCTGGATGACAGCATTCTTGCTGAGTCCACATGGGGGAGAGGGAGGGAGATAATTCCATCTTCCTCTTCTTATAAGGCCACCAATCCTATTGTAGTAGAGGCCCCATCCTTATGACCTCATTTCAACTTGTTTACCTCTTAAAAGTTCTATCTACGTATACATCGGGGGTTAGGACTAACACTTACATTTTGGGGGAACACAATTCAGTTCATAGCACTCCCTGTGGCACCTTTCTCTGCAAAAAATTATATATCCCCTTGCAGTAGAAGTCACATAAGCAAATTTATAATTCTACACTTGCCTTGATCTTTGACCAATAACATGTGAATGGAAGAGACAACCTGTTACAGTCACACACTGATCACCATATTTTCCCTCTACCATGTTCTCCTCAACAATATCACAGAAATAAATACTCCTCTGTTCAGGATTGTAGGACGCTGCTTGCTCAGTGATAACCTACATGCCCTCCTGTAACCACGTGTCCTCCTGGTTCCCATCTGGGTGGGGAGTCAGCCCTCTGGGATTTGTGGCAATCCAGGGCCGGGCCAACCTGGATCTTAACTTATCTCAAAGAACAGCACATCTTGAAGGAATACAGAGCTTTCCATGAGAGCTCCTGTTCCTGGGGATGCTGGTTGTACCAAGAACAGTCCCTCTTGGCAAGCACATAGTCTTTATTCCCTTGCCCACGTAAGCAGCCCTCTCTCTGCCCATGGTAGTGGGTGCACAACTCCGTCCAGCCAGCCACCCCCGGACACTCCCTATACCTAAGTCCCAACAAACCTATATGTCTCATATGCCGTCTCCAGGTCTTTTCTTTGGTCTCTCTGCACCCTATCCCATACTGCTTGCTCAACTGGGCGTGTGGCCAGACACCTCGTGAGCCAGCCAGGAGACCAAGGAAACTCCCGTGAGCACTGAGGCTATGGGGGATGGGATGGGAACTCTATGGGGAAAGTTCTAGGTTGGCCTGCATCCTCCATGTGGGGGCCAGTCACTGCTATTCTAGATGGATAGGGCCTACCAGGTGAGTACGGGGATGCCCCGGAAAACACCAAAGGTCCTTGGCGAAGTTCTTGGCTTGACAGACATTGGGAAAAAGAAGTCAAAGCCTAGATGACTGTTGCAGCTGTGAGGTGCCCCCCCCCCCATAGCATGCCTCAGAACAGACACTGAGATGCAACCAAGAGCCAAAGCAAGGCCGCCACAGGAGGAACTAAAGTTGGAAAGAGGCTGACTGGTACAAGCTGAGACAACCGAGGTGCTGTCGACAAGCCTACGAGAGGCTGATGAGAAAGTAGAGACCCTAGCCTCTCATCTCACTAACTTAAGGGGCAACAGCTACCACAGGCAAAGGTACAAGCCCTTGTGACCACGACTGGAACCCAAAACAACGCGATCTGTGTGACTCTAGTAGTGAGGAAAGTGAGCAGGCTGTGGGATGGGATGTCCCAAGAGAAGTACTCATCTTGGAGGTGCATCCGGTCATGATGCAGAAAATGAAATCAGAACAACCCTGGCCCACTGGGGTCAATCCAACAGAAGAGTCCCCATCGTTCAGCATATGCACTCTACTACGCAGGATTACACCACTGCCAAGCTGGTGGAACTGGGAAACAAATTCAGGCAGAAGGAAGGGAAAGCATCCCAGAGTGGCTTTTGCATCTCTGGGATACCACAGTGGAAGGCATTTTGCTCTCAGGGGTGGAGATGAACAAGATAGTGCCCATTACTTCTCACTCTGCCGTGCAGCAACACCTCTATAGTGCTGTGAATGACGATCGAGTAGTCTCCCTTGACTTGGTTAAGGGCTGCCTGTAGGGGGGCCTGGCCTAAAGAAGGGGACATACCCACGCCTACCCCCTGGGTGGCAGACCATGGAAGACCTACAAGACTTGTTAAGGGAACTCAGCATGAAACATGCAGTTTACGCCGACCATTACCAAGGGCCTGACAATGAACTATTCACTGCAGGCATGAAAGATACCATGTCATAGATGGCTCTGAACCAATGCTATGGGGCTTTGGTCTCTCTCTTAAACCACTTGGTAGGTCAACTGGTGTCCC